AAGTGTCTTTCACAGTATGAAAGAAGACGTTCCAGAGCTACCAAAATCGGATCTTCCTCAATTTAATGGAGATCCAAAAGACTGGCCAAATTTCTTCAATTTGTTCTCCGACATGATTCACAAAAGGAAGGATATCAGTGACACAAGGAAACTGAACTACCTAAAATCATGCCATCTCCTTTGATGCCCAAATGGTAACGAGGCATTTGTTAAATGGACCGTATGCTAACGCCATTAACCAACTAGTGGACATGGAACTGCTGGAAAACGATGATGTAAGTAGGATCTGCCAATTCTTGGACAAAGCAAATGAGTGTATACATATCGCCAAAGATGTATCCCAAATTGGTAACGATATTGAAGTACTAATTGCTCAGATTTAGCTATGAAGATTCTCGACCGAAGCTCTACAACTTTACGAAAAAGAGAGCCAGATAAATTCAATCCTTGAAAAATGTACTAGAATAAAACGAGATCTTCAGCAGCAATTGTCTCAAAGAAAGCAACGATAAAAAATAAGTCCGGAAAATACGAGCAGCTAAGGGTCCTCATCGATGGAGGTTCGCCAAGAACATTTATATCGAAAAAAGCTACACAACAGCTAAAACTGCGCCGAATCAAAAGGAACGTGGAAGTTCAAGGAATTTCAATGAGATCTACCGAGCAAAAAAATTGACATGAATGTCAATAATCGATGTAATAATTGGCGTTGATTTGCTTCCCTTAATAATGTTAGGAAATGTTAAAAAAGCCACCGAAACACTGGGACAAAAAACGGAACTTAGATGGATTGTTTCCGGCAATATAGCTAGATCATCAAACATCTAGGTGAACAGTGCACGCGCTGGATCCGGCTATTATGTCATCAAAAAGAGGTTACAAAGGTGGAACTGCAACTGCTAGCGCTGCTTAACTATATTTATTAAATGAAATTGTGTGTTGAACTTCGGCTGTCACCGGCCACTTTGATATAAAAGGAAGAAACAGAGAGATAGAAAAGAAGTGGGTATCGCTGCACAGGCAAATATAAGCCCAGCGAAAATTGGCCTCAGATATTGAAGGCGATCAACCATGCCCACCCAATAGGGTAGTAATGATCGCTTGCTACCTGCTGTTATTCCTCGCAATGCCATTTCCACCTCGGCGAGGTAACGAAAGCCTGGAAAGACGCGCCGCATGGTCCCAAAATAATGATGATATGAACGAAGATTATGGTGGGGAGATGACTGTGTCTCTTATCGCTGCCCTTGTGGTACAGCGATATAGGTATTAATAAAAAAATCTACTCCGGCTTGTGCCGGAGTTAAGCTTTATTCGATGCTTCCGCTTTCGTTATGTGAGTAGAACTGAATTCAATATAAAACAGGAGCTTTTCTATATATATGGTCAAGTTAAAGTAGCACATAAGAGCTCAGCGGAAACCGACTCGTCATAAACGATAACACTGCTCTTGTGATACATGCGAGAGATCAGGTTACCGCTGCCGACTGTTACAATCAGAGCGCTGACCCTAGGCATCTGTCTTGTCAGTACTATGTGCGAAACTGTTGGCCACAAACAGCTTACAATGTAGTTCTAAATAACTAAAGACGAGGAGCGCTCGTTAACTTGTATAAAATTTCATATTCGTATTGTTGGCCTAACATATATCTGTTTTTTTTTTTTTTTTTAATATACAAATGTTAGTGGAAATAGAGATTACAATCATGAGGAAGAAATCAGAAGAGCTTTTCTGTGCTTTTTAGATCACAATACAATTAACTCTAGAAAGAATAAGACGAAATAAGGGAGCTTCTTGTTTTTCTCTCTTTATATGCGTAAGTGGCTTAGCGGATGGCTATGAAAAGAACGCCGAAATTCGGTCAACGACCGTATGGGGTCAGCTGGCCGACAAGACATATGTGCATGAAGAAAATAAAAAGAAAAAAAGATTTTATTGCATTAATTTCTGTCTCATGCCAGCATATTAGAAATTAACAACCGATCAAAAAATTAAAATAAAGAATATCTTACACTTGTAAGGTAGGTAGCTCACCAACGGCAATGTCCATCGATGAAGGCACTTCCATTGATTGATATATACGAATTTTTTTCTCACAGAAAAATCTGTTGTACATGTGGCACAAATTATTGATCTTCGTGTTCTATTCCATTGTTACATTATAACTGGCGATAAATCCATCTTGTTTCGATATCATTTATGAAAAAATCGATAGTTAAAGTGTTGATTGAACTTAATGGAATGGGAGCGTCAGAACATGCTTATGTATAATATGTGTACGGCCATTACACTTATAAATTGTTGTGACAGTGATTCAACTTAAAAACATGAGAATGCTCATCATATAACGATTAAATCTTAAATGTGTAATTAATTAATTATAATTATAATTTTTATTGTAAAGTTCGATTTAGCTAATTTTATTAGCTTGGAAATTTTAAATATATTCGCTTCATAAAACACGTTGCTCGAGTTTGGCAGAAGTGAATTAGTTTAGATCTTAACACTCCGTTGTGGGTCATAGATACTGAGATGTTTAGCATTAGTGAACTGTGCTGCATGTTCTGCTGCCCACCGTGTCCTGGACCAATTGCTGCAAAACTAGCTTTTCAACCGCCTGAGCCAACATACAAATTGACTGCTGCCGATGACACAAATATTAAATACAATTTACAGCTATATGATCGTGCTGAGTGGCAGTACTCGGAACGTGAAAAATCGAAAATTGAGGCATTTTTTACCCGTACATCGCGTGGAAATTTGATCACTTGCACATATGTTCGTTGTAGCAAAAATGCAAAATATACTCTGCTCTTTTCTCACGGAAATGCAGTTGATTTGGGACAAATGAGTAGCTTTTATTATCTTCTTGGATCACAAATTAATTGCAATATATTTGGTTATGATTATTCGGGGTATGGCATGAGCGGTGGAAAGCCTTCAGAAAAAAATTTATATGCAGATATCGAAGCTGCTTGGCAAGCGATGCGAACCAGGTAATAGATATGGGAATTAAACTCAATATATTGATATATTAATTCCAGTTCTTTCAAAGGTTAAACATTAGTCCAGAAACTATAATATTATACGGCCAAAGTATAGGAACAGTTCCAACTGTTGATTTAGCATCACGTTACGAAGTTGGTGCGGTCATACTTCATTCACCCTTGATGTCGGGTCTAAGAGTTGTTTTCAGGAACACAAAGAGAACTTGGTTTTTTGATGCTTTTCCCAGGTAAATAATAATCAAAATAAAATATGAAAACATAAAAACAATTTTTTTAATGAAAAAATTTAAACACTTAATGAAATACAAAAATAGTATTGATAAAGTTGCTAAAGTGAAATCACCAGTTTTGGTTATTCATGGAACTGACGACGAGGTCATTGACTTTTCCCATGGAATTGGTATTTACGAGCGTTGTCCTAAGACTGTGGAACCATTTTGGGTGGAGGTAATATAAAAAATTCCTATTTATATACATATATATTGTTTT